AACCAGGCCAAGAGCCATGGGCATGCCAGGCGGATACATAATTTGTTGATATGGATAAGCATTGAGGAACTTGGGGTAATGGACTGACATTATTGGATTTTCACATCACACACACAAATAATTCGTTATTAATATAAAGGTCACGCTAAAATAATGGGTCTCAAAGCGAGCTGCATTTTAGAACTACCTAGGGAGTTTTAAAAATGCTAATTCCTAGACCCCAGTTCAAACCAATTAAATCAGGATCCTTGAGAATGAGATATTTTAGTTTCCCAGATGTTATTATTATACAGCTTGGGGTGAGAATTACTAGATTAAATAGAGATTCAACTAGAGATAGAAATACCACTTAGAAATGTGTTAATATTAGATGATGTGAAAAATCATGTATGCCTAGTACTATGTTGTTCTGTACATCTGAAAGTAGTAAAAAAAATGTATTCCTAAACTAGGTGAATGACAGTATGCATAGAGAAGGCATTTAAGTGGTAGAATTGACACAAGTTGATAATTATTTGAACACAGAGTATGAAAAACAAGAAGCAAAGATCACTCTAATGGTGCCCTGGTAAATGGTGGTGTCAATAGGAAATACAGTGGATTGGGCATGTGTGGGAGGTGGGAAGTATGTCAATTAAGAAGCAGCTACCATTTTCCTTTAGATCCATCACCAATGACATAAACACACTTAAATATATTTTCTATTTGCCCTATTGTAAATCTTTGGGCCAGATATTGCAACTCAGCTCCACCTCATCCTTTCATTCTCTTCCTTGTGGTGATAGGGCCCAGACTCTGCAAATCACATTGTTGCTTCTCCAGGCTGGTTCATGTTAGGCTCTTCCAGCAGGAGGCATGACAGGAAAACTGCAACACTGGAGAGGAAGAAGGGATTTACTCTTTCCTGTTTGCTTCTTGGTGACTTCCTATCTGTTTGAGCTCCAATGGCCATTTAAGCAGCTGTTTTTATAGAGAAGAGTTAAATAAGCACTCCTAGTAAGTACAAAATAGAAGACTGGGAGTTGTGACTTTTTCTTGTATCACACAAGGGAGAGAGGGAGGGGATGCCCTCAGCATTTAGGCCTTCAGTTGGCCGCCACTTATTTCTGAACTCTATTTCCTCAAGTTCTAACCTTCCTTCTGCAGACCTTGCTCAAGTCTTCACCATCTAGGGTCCTCACCTATTTTCTTAGGGAAACTTCTCCCCACATGAGAAAGGAGGCACGCCATCATGTGTGGTTAAACGACACAGGCTTGGTCCAAATGGCGATGGAATTTTCCTTGGCCAGGAGTTTCCCTGAGAAACACAGGAATTTTGCGCTGGCTTTATAAAGAAGGTGAGAGATCTGATTCTAGATTGGTCTCTCCATGTGAGTGCTGCTGCCATTTTTCACCTGATTAACGTAAGAACAAGGGCAACTCACTTCCATGAGTATTTTCTTCCCAACACAACATGATCTAGCATTATATGAGGAAGGTCTAACCTTCATATTGATATGACTTTGACTCTATTCTTTTGGGAAAAAAATAGCCCTTGAATTTCTGGATATGGATCTTCTGTTTTTTCCCCGAGCATGCCCGTATTACTGGAACTATCACTTTAGTTTAGAATCCCTTTTATGAATGTAGGGGAAATGGTGCCAGCTCCAAATGGATTGTTTTCTGACAATGTAATATTTCCTCTCAGGAAAGAGTAGGTGATGGGGTGGGGGAATATCATTTTATCCCATAAACTATATCTCTATCTCTACCTCTATCCACAAAACCATGACAGCTGATCTTTTTGTTCAAAACACTAAGGTAGAAAAGCAGTACCAAAAGTATTCATATGAAGTCTCCCACCTTCTGACTTGACATATCATTTGAAATTTCTCCCACAAGCAGCTGATTTCATTTCAAAATCATAAATATTCATTCTTTTAGCTAAAGTTCTAAGTATATAACCAAAACACTTTGTAATAACAGAGGAGAATCAAAAAGAATACACTTACACTGTTTTTGTACAAATAACAGACCAAATGAATACAGCTGCCACCATCTCATGATTAGTGATATGGGATCTCCACATTTAAAAATGTATTGTTTTTACACAAAATAAACATAAATGTAAAAGACAAATAATTACTGAAAAAAAGATGAACTGTTTAGATAAAAATTTCCCTATGCTCTCTAAAAATGTAAAAAGATGAACTATAACAAGAGACAAAAAAAATTAAAAGTAACGTGAAAACAAATGGAGCTATAAAGGCAGAAGGAAAGAAACTGAATAAAAATCAAAACATGAATGTGTGAAAAATAATATAAATGGAACCACTTCAAAATAGAGTTGGAGCCACCATCCCAGAGGAATTACTTGTGTGTCTTACTCCTCAAACCTTCAGAATGTTCAAAAGGGACAAAATAATCTTTGGATTGGGCCAAAGCAACACTGTATTCCAAGTAAGTGTCTGCAAAGTTAACATGAAAGCATATATCCTGACTAACAGACTGAAAACTAAAGACATTCTTTAGAATCTGCACCACCATGTGTAGTTAACGCATAACTTAGCTTGTTTGTACCTATACAAATACCTCCCTTGCCTTATTAACACCCATAGAAAATCCTTCCTTTTCTTCATGTAATTACTACCCTGCCCTTTATCATAAATAGCCTTGCTTTCACTTCTTAATTGGAACACTATTTGGGTATCTGCCTGAATCAGTGCTTCCCAGAATTGCAATTTTTAATTTCAAATAAATGCCTGCTGCCTCTGAGACTTTTTAGGTTAAAAAATGCTACATGAAAAGAACATTTGAAACAATAAGAAATAACTGACTCAGAAGGGTAAAAAAAAAGAAAAGTAGAAAAAGCACAGAGTGCAGTAGAAAAGATACAGCTCAAAGGAAGAAAGCAAATGAAAACAGGTAACTGTCTGAGACTTTGGCACAAATTATTGTTCATGTCTTCCTGATATGGATGCCCAGCTAGGCTATATTTTCCAGATCCCCTTGTGGCTACGTGTGGCCACTTGTCGCAGGTCTCGCCAATGTATTGTGAGTAGAATCGACTTATACAAGAGACTTGCTTGGACAAGACTTTTTCAGATTTGCATTGTAGTGTGAGTCGCATTCTATGCAGTCCTCTTTGTTTCTCACCCTTTCAGAAGTATCAGGCCAGCATTATGGCCTAAAGGCTCTCCCTGCCTATTCCACTTCCTTTTCCTTTATCACTCACTTGTACCCACCTAACAGGGAATGCTTTGTGTTTCATCATTAGGTGTGATGTTTAAGATCTTCTATTAGGTCCCTTCTATTTCTAGTATCTAGAAGTTTATAATGAATGAATGTTGACTTCCATCTAAGACTTTTTACACATATATTGATATTTTTCTCCTTTTAGTCTTCTAATGTGGTTAATTATGTTAATTGCATTAACCTGTCTTCTAACACTAAACCAACTTTGAAGCCTGTTCATCAAGATACATAGTACTTTTAGAACTCAGAATCTAAATGAACAGGAACTATACATTCTTTGGAGCAAAGTAATTATCAGTTACATATTTACCTACACACAATGACCAATATATGGACAACGTTAATATTTTACCAGCTAGTTGTTTCGAGCTGTGTTTTTTTATTCACCTCCATCAGGAACACAGTTATTTATATAATCAGTAAACAAGCATTTCCTGAGCATTCACTATCCATGAATATATGCCCTTCACTCTTCTGGTACTAGAGTACAAACATGACAAAGCCATAACCACTGCCATTAAGGAGCTCATAATTTAGGTGTGTGAAAAGAGTATGTGTGTGGGTGTGTTGGACCATAGCGTGAGGGTGGCACAGAGAGTAGAACAAAAGATAACGGGAAACACATACAGTAAGTGTTGCACTATAAATGAACAAAATGCTAAGGCGATGCAGTGGGGAAGCACTTCAAGTCCCTACTCAAGTCTAAGGAATCTTGAATGATGATACATGTTTAGCACAAAAAAGATGATAGTGGAGAAGGAAAGATGCACAGACACTGCTGCTGGTTGAATATTTATTGGTATGTGTCGCGACATTAAGGCTTTGGGGGTCAAGTACTGATAATGCACAAAAATCTCTATTTTCAGCTTAAATTCTATCAATGGAAAGAAACAACTTTCTAAAAAAAAAAAAAGGAACTTTCCTGCTTAGGAAAGCTTTTGTACAAGCAATCAACCAACAGTTCTGATTGATACACAGAGCAGCGATACTGAATTGGGCTGCCTGCAGGAAGGCAATACCAGCGTTCACTTATATTTAGTTTTTCCATTCTTCTAATATTACTATTTTGTTATAATGTATATGTAGTTTACAATTATCTGTATCTTGGGAGTGCGGGCTCAAGTTCTATTAACGCGAGCATTTCCTCAAAAAAGTTTGGGGACCACTGCTCTAGAGTCCTCCGAATTCCTCAAAGGGAAAAAACATTTAATTTTACTGTGTTTAAAGCCACATAACACTCATGTCTAAAACACTAGCAATGCAGGAATGTTACGTAACAGAACGGGTGGCTGAGAAAATTACTTTTCTTAAGGGCTTTCCTTGTAGACAACCCCAAAGGAAGCTGCTTATACAGCTGTTAATTAAAATTGGAGAAAAAAAAAAGTTCTTAGACGTTGTTTGCAGGTTTGGGCGGCCGCTTGTAAGAGTTTTACGGTCCACATGTCTAGGTACCGACCACAGTCCTATTGGTTGTGTTGTTCGCCGCGTAATCCACGGGAGCCGGCCGGTCCAGGGTCTCGGCGAAGCAGGAACAGCTTTCGTACCCGGAGAACTCAACCCCTGGAGCGCAAGGCCGTTTCCTCCCGGTCACAGCTGAGCTTGAGGACTCTGCTAAAGAGCCTAGAGCGTCTGCAGGGGCCGTACGTAGCCGGCGCCGGGAAAGCTTCACGTGCCCTACGTGTGCTGACCTCGCGCCTGCGCGCTGCTGTCCTCCTTGCTCATTAGGTCTCTTCTACCCGGCAAGCCCGCCTTCCCGCTGTATCATCACTTCCGGCGGACGCTTAGTGTCATTGGAATCGTCACTTCCTGCCGGTAGTGGTGTGGACTGTGCGGGTCGTGGCCGCGGCTTCTGCGCGTCTCCCCTTTCCGTTTTCCTCCCTCCCTCCCTTTCCCTCCTTCGGCGGCTGTAGGTCGCCGGTCGCAGACTCCCTGACCCATCCCTACCGTTTTCCTAATCTCGGTGCCACCGGATTGGCCTCCTTTTTCCGTTTCCCGGCGCAGCCCCGGTGTCAGGGCGGGGGGCCTTGAGGAGCCAAAGACGCTGCAACTGAGGAGAGAGAAGAACGAGACGAGACCCTTGGCTCCCCAGCCCGCTAGCTTGGTTCGCCGCCGCCATGGCAATGAGACAGACTCCGCTCACCTGCTCCGGGCACACGCGGCCTGTGGTGGATTTGGCGTTCAGCGGTATCACGCCTTATGGCTATTTCTTAATCAGCGCTTGCAAAGGTGAGCAGGGCCGCTGATCCTGGTTTCCAGACGTCCAGGACTGGGCCGAAAGGGAGTGGAGCCGGCACGCCACCGTGTCGAAGGGGTTGTGGGGATCTCAGCCTTTGTGATGAGGGCCAATGGAGTAGGGGTGGGGGTTCCGCAGCTGCCGCCCAAAGGAGCGTTTCTGACGCCTCCGACAAGGCTAAGTATTGCCTCCAACTAAGGCTTCTCATTTTACTTCTATTGCTATTTCTGGAGAAGCAGAATTGACACTTGCCTAGACAGCTTGGCCAACAAACTGAATATCTTTCAGGGGTTTGGGCAATGGACAAACTAGACCAGACTAAGTAATACCGTGTTTTCCCGGACAATAAGACTGAGTCTTATATAAATTTTTGCTCCAACAATCGACATTTATTCATTTATTCATGATCTTAACTGAGGCTCACGTGTGGGATAAGGCTTATATTATGAGCATCCTCAAAAATCATGCTAGGGCTTATTTTCGGAAAAACACGGTACCTTGCCAAGAATTGTCCCTGATATTATCTCATTGGCTATTCCACTGTGGTATTAGCCCCATTTTTCAAATGGACACTGAGATTTAAGTTAACGAGTTTGTCCAAAATAAAACTTGATTCTAGATTGTTTTGATGCAAATCAGTATTCTAACCAAATTACAAATGCTTCCCAGAGATAATCTATGGCTCAGTTCTTCCGTTAATTTGTGAAGTTAATTTATTTAGTTATACGCGTATGCAGTTACCTGTAATTTATTTCTGAACATTCCTTAGTGACCCCAGTGAGACTAGACAACAAAAGCAATTTTCCACCTTGTTATTCAACTTGATTATTTTATGTTTGAATCATAGATTTTAAATAATCAGAACTCCTAAATCACAAGTCTTTTTAAATATTTTTTAGACGGTAAGCCTATGCTACGCCAGGGAGATACAGGAGACTGGATTGGAACGTTTGTGGGTCATAAGGGTGCTGTTTGGGGTGCAACATTGAATAAGGATGCCACCAAAGCAGCTACAGCAGCTGCAGATTTCACAGCGTAAGTACAGCCAAAATGGAGATCTCTTGGGAGATCGCTTTGGAGATCTCTGCGGGTTGTGTTCTGAAATAATCAAACTTCAGCCTCTGTTATTCATAAAATTCTGATTCAGTGAATATGTTTGTTCTCACCAAAATTGCACCCTGGTCCTGTCACCTTCTTTCTCTACAGAGGTTTTCACAATTTTCAGAGACTTAAATGATTTATTCTGCATTTCTGGACCTGGGAATCTGCATTATTGACAAGCACTGCAGATAGTGAATGTTGGGGATAATGTTTAGAAATATTGCTTCACATGTGCTTCCTGAGTGATACCTGTAAACTCCTATAATGTTCTTGTGCTGACGGCCCCAGACTTCTTAGCCTGATCTCACTCTCAATTTTTGTTAACTGGCTTTAGACAGACTTAAAACTCCCATCAATTGCTCTTCATTTTCTAAGCTTAAGTTCTTGATATGTCCCTTATATCCAGATTATCTTCATATCCATTGATTCTACCAGCGTAATGCCTCCTGACTACAATGTTTCTTAGCTTCTGCCACCGCATTAGTTCAAGTCCCTGCCACTAGTCTCTTTCTGGTCCATTCATCTTCCATAGTGCTTCCAGTTGTCTTCCTAAAAACAAATTTCATTGTGTCACTTCTTTATCTAGTGATCTTCCCTATCCTCCTGCTATTTCAATGGTTCATGACCTTGGGTGTACATTAGAATAACTGGGGGATCTTTTAAAATATTCAGATGCATATGTTTGAGAAATTTTTATTTCATTGGTCTGGGGATGGAGTACCCAGTATCAATTTGGTTTCTTTCCCCTTAAAGTAGTTCTAGGAGATTTTGATGTGCAGCTTTAGAACCACTGGCCTAGAGGTTACATTTCAGCTGTTGGCACTAAGATTTGGCCTCATCCTAGTTTAGCAGCATCACCAGGCACTGCACACCATATGCCCTGCAATGGAACTATATTACCTATTTTCATTTTTGGTTTTTGCATATGTTATTAGAGTGACTTGCAATGACCCACTTTCCCCTTCTGGGCATGTATCGTTTTATATCATCTTGGTATTTCCAGTTCCTAAGTGTATTTGTGACTTAGCAGACACTTAAATGTTTAAACTAATGAAGGCAATATCAAGATCTATTGTACTCGTATGTATAAATAGACTTTATAAGACTTAAGAGTCGGGCGAGTAAAAGTGGTTTTGTTGGGGTTTTTTTTTAGACAGAATTCCACACTGGGGAGCAACTGTAAATGTTTTGCTTCTTTGTTTTAAGCAAATTAACATACCAAGTTTATTATGAAAAACAAAGGCAGAGTGATAGTGGTGGTGGATACATGACTATGCATTTGTTGGAACTCAAAGACTTCTATACCACAGTGAATTTTGCTGTATGCAAATTTTAAAAATAAAAATTTTAAAATAGGAGAGGGTGATATAATGCTTACATGGGATTAAATCAGAGATGATAAGACATCAATAAGAAAAGTTATAAGTGTTAGTCTAAACTTTTTTGTGTGTTTTGAGTGAATAGATTGCTATTATATCTTTACGCATCACCCCTGGGAGGCTTGTGCTGGGCCCTGTTGTGATTGTACGTAATACTGATAAAATAGGGAACTGCTTGGTTTTATATAAGTTCTTTTTATGTCAACAGACAGCTCCAGGTCATATGTTGCTTTAGATGTCAGCGTGCATATAAGGTGACAGAGACTCCTTTGATTATTAATTAAGGGAGGTGAAAATAGGAAATAAAATGATGCTCAGACAGGGAAGACTTACGGAGTTCTAGAAGGTAGAGGTCTATTTCCTCTTTTGTGCTCACACCATTCCTTGCGTTAGATCTTCTGGCACTTGTATAGTACTTAACTGACTTACAAGTTGCTTCTTGACGTCTGGTTTTTCTACCCCTTACGTATCCTTAGCTTATTCAATACCTTACACTTGTTGAGTAAAAAACTTGAGGAAATTTTCTAAAGTAGAAGACTAAAGGATGGGAATGAACGTCATGGATTTTATAACAGAGGTAGAAAATGGAGATCAATGACCCGAGATTTCAAATTCCACTTTGGTAAGTGGATTTTAAAAATGTCATTACTGAAAAGAAACTAGGTCTTAGTCTGGTGGTAGTAAGCTGATAATTAGTAAAGTGGTATTTTAAATTAAATGTAATTAAGTTATAAATGTAACATGATTTTAGACACTACGGACATTAGCACTGAAAGAGACAAGCTTTTGATTGCAGCTCTGGAAAGATCCATTTTTGTTAACTTCAGTTCTACGTTATCTGGCCCTAACAACGTTAATTACGTGAGCAAAAGGCTTTGCCACCTCCTGCTTGATGGTCTTGCTTTGATCTTTAAGAGACTTGTGCAGAAGCTTGTTAGGAAAGATGCCCGTCTCTGTAAAATCTGTGAAGACTTTCTAGGTTTGTACATTTGACCAAATTGTAATGCCAGTCCTCCGGTAAAGAAATAAAGAGCATTAGACAGAAATTATTATCATGTGATAATTACTCTGAAATGAAGAGAAAGAGGAGTGAAAAAATGGCACTTTAAATACTTAACCTAGTCATAAAAAGAATGGTCAGGATTTTATCTTGCCGCTGGGGGAACAGTTATCTTTGTTTAGGTCACTTTCAGAGCATTAATAACCAAAATCACACATATGAGGATGTGTGTGTGGATAGCTATTCAGGGTTGTTTTTGTGCATAACATTTCAAGTCTCGGTGTGTGTGTTTACAAGTAAGTGGTATTAAAAACATGAACACTGGTTTAGGGTTGAATTCTACTCCATCATTTAATAACTTTGATCTTGGGGACTGTATTTAACCTCTCTCTCGGTTTCATCATCTATAAAAATGAGAATAGTAGTAGTGCTTGCCTCATATGTTGGTTGTGAATATTAAATAAGTTGATGTTTGTAATATTTAGAAAATTGCCTAAAATCTAATAGCTATGTAAGTGTTTGTTACATGTGTAAGGTAAATCAAAATCACTAGTCCAAAATCATTCATATTATTTTGGAACTTAATGGCTAAAGCCATGAAATCTTTTGGTTTCATTGCAAGGAAGTTTGAGTGAATATAAATATTAAGAAGGAATACTATTTCCCCTCTCAGTTAAGGCTTTTAGGTGCCATGATGCAGTGGGGAAAATGGAAGCATTTGCATTAGGCAGGCCTAAGTTATGTGCTAGCCATGCTTTGTATTTCCAGTTTGATCATGGGATTCATCTTAAACTTTGTTGTTTGTATCTGTAAAACAGGTGTAACACCAGTGTGGTTATGGGAAGAATCAGAGAGCTCTTTCTCCTCTTATATTCCTGGAGTCTAGCATAGTGTCTGTTAGATAGTAGGTGCTCAGTAAATGACAGCTGAGACTTACCCCTCATTTGTTCTGTGTCTGTCTTTGAGGTGTGGGAATGTATGCGTTTATTGGGTATATCCTCCTCTTTTAATGACTTGTCTGGGACTTGCTATTATGGAACATCTGATCCGGCTAAAGAATAGCCCCTCAACTTACCTGATAATCATAGTTGGTATAAATAATTTCCAGGAAGTTCTTTTTTACCCTTCATTCTCATGTTTCTCAGAAAATTCACTAATTTATAGGTCCTGTTTATCCAGAGGTCAATTTTGTTCCTGTTTCTTGTGGAGAAATTATGGAGAAAATACATTCAGCAGGGCTTACCTGTGGGTCAGTTTAGAATGTTATCTCGAAGTGATTTGGGCAAAGCAGGCAAGGAGTATGCGATCCTTTAAAAACCATACTCTTATCTTTTAGTTCATAACGCTAATGTTAGCATTACTTCCCATGATTCTCTTCTCAGCACCTCCACTTTCCTCCCATCAAAGTCATCTGGAGAGAGTGCCAACGTAGAAAAGGTCCTATTCTCAGGTCCAGAGAGTACTTGAGTAGATCGGGGGTTGGGCCCAGGAATCTATAGCTAACCGATGTGTATGATCGATCACTTTTTCTTCCTTATAAAAGCCAGTAGAAAGATCTAAGTTTTCTCTGAATAAAGTTCTCAAGAAATCAAAGGTGCTATTATCTCCTTTTTGATGAGTTGGTCAACATGTTAAGATAAGCAATTTTTTCCTCTAAAATAGTTTGTTTTGTTCAGGCCTTTAAGAAGTAAGTTAAGCAGCTCCTCTTGAAATTTGTGGTAAATCCATTCTCAGTATGCGAAAAGTATTGAACAGAGCGTTGATTATTACATGCACGAAACTGGAGATATAGAGGTTTCAGTAGTTTAGGGAAATGACAAGCACTTCATGAATTGTGCATAAAATAAGTGCTACAGGGTTAGCCGATGAGAGGATATTGATGATGGTGCTTCGTTGTCTTGATTTGAGTCCGCAGCCAGCTAGTTAATACTGGTTTTTTGCCTGGAGATTGAAAAATACATTAGAAAACATTTAGGTTATTCCAGGTTCTTTTTAGGACTCTAAGCCCTTTTTAGGATTTTTATGGTGAATAATGGAAATATGCCCAGATCGGTACAAGTGATTAGAATATGCTCTGTTAGGGAGTGTCATCCTCAGTTTTAGTAGTGCTTCTAAATAGGAGGAACAAGACTATAGATACACTCTTCCTTGGATGGTACTTTGCTCACGCCGGGTCTTTCCTCCTCACCAGTGAATGGACATGGTCTAAGCAGAATCTTTAGATGTTAAGAAGCCTTTGGAAGAATTTTTAATGTACTCGAAATTAGTATTTCAAAAGGACAATGCCCAGAGTTTCTTTGTGAATAACTAGGATAGAAATTTCAGGTATATTTGATATTTTCTTCACTTGTGATACGTCTGTCATCACATCAGTCTGGAATCCTAATATTTATAAACCTTTATTACTGATTTCCTTGTGATTAAGAGTAAACACGTTAAAAATAAAAGCAAAGCAAAATTAAACACAGTAATCAGTATAAGTGAGTTCTGTGAAAGAACAGAAAGGAGTGGTTACTGGAGGTGAGGTACATAGCCGGTTTCATGAAGAGATTGCATTTGAAACAAGCCCTGAGGATGAGTAGAACTTTGGATAGCTGAAAATATAAAATACTGACTTAAAACAATTTCAACAAAGACATGGGATCCTGGAAGAAAATACATGGCTTGCTTGAATGGTTTCTAATTTGGTATGGCTAGATTCAGACAAGTAATACAAAATGAGGTTGGGAAAGTAGGTTTGGGTCAGAGTTGAATTGGCAATGGGAGAGATTAGAGCTGGTCTCCTTTGCAAGGAGAAATGAATACTTGAGAGTTTAGTAGCAATACTACTCATAATTTATTTCTCTCAGAATATATTTATTTAGCCACTCATATGACTCACGTATATAATAGGTAAGGTTTATATTGTATCATCAACATTTATTCCTGTTAGACGGTCATTCATGTCTCTGTACCGTTGTACATGCTATTAATGTTTGTCCACAATCTTTTTTTCCCCTGGTGTATTTCTAGTTGCTCTTTGAGACTACTGGCTCCACTGCTTAGGTTTTCTGGACTTTCTGGCTTGATTAGCGGCATGTTTTTTCTGTTTCTATAGCCACGTATGTTTGTATTTTAATTATATTTATTAAATGTGTTATTTAATGCATGTTTTTCTCCTTAGCTAAAGGACTACAAAAGCAGGGCCTTTGTTTGGAATCATTTCTTTTCTCCTTTTTGTGCCCTAGCGTTAAATCTAGAATGACATAATATACTTGATATAGTTATTGTGTGTTTATTGAATAAATGAAGAAAAGATATCTCTTGCTTTTTATTTTTCTCTGCTATTTATTTTTTCACTTTTTTCTTAAAAATAAATGTCAGTTACTTTGAAATGGAAATCTTTATGGAGCATGGCTTATTCACTCTTAACAGTTCTTTTTCCTCTATGCAAATTTTTCTTGTTTATTTTTCAGTGACCTCTTCTGATATAAAATGAGTTTTTTTTCTTCTTTAAGCATTATTATTTGGGGGAACCCCTTACAGTATTTTCGTAAAGTATTACTCAGCCATTACCCGTGACATATACAGACGTGTATAGACACACAGCCAAACATGTATTTGGGTTAAGGTAGCTGAGGGAAACATACTGTTGAGAGATTAAAAATTCTTAGTGTTAGCCTTGTATAGTCAAAGGTTGATGCTTTGGGGGGAAGTCAATTGGACTAGGATTTGAGAATTTTAAAGTCTGCTTTGAGGAAGAGGTGGGAAGAATATTTTCTTCTGTCTTGATTTAAAATTTTACATAACTTGTATTAGGGCCTATTGTTCTAAATTTTTTTAAAGGATTTTTTGTTTTGCATGTACTTCGTTCCGGAAACACTACTCCTATTGCAAGACATTGCTCATTTACCCAGTTAAAATGTATTAGAAATGTTTGCTTGTCTTACGGAACACTTGCAAACCAAGTTACTCACAATCCAAGGTTTTACTATACATGAGAGTAGAGAGTAGAAAAAATTGGAAAGGTGAAACTAAAAATTGGTTAAAATGTTTTGCAGTCTTGCTAAAACGATATGGCTATAGACTAGAATAAAAGTAAGGATGTGTTGGTTCATTTACTTAGATTCATTGATCTTTTCTACTGTCAAAATTAGATTGGCTATATGGCTTTTACAGAGAAATTTCTTTTCCTTTAGACTCATTTATATATTTTATCAAATGAACTCTTAACAGTGGAGGCATATTGGAAACTGGAGATTTATAATACATTTACTATAACATTTCATATATGTAACTTATTTGGTAATTAATCATCAAAATCACCATTAATATTTATCTTTTAATTTTACTTTTCACTTTTAGCAAAGTGTGGGATGCTGTCTCAGGAGATGAATTGATGACCCTGGCTCATAAACACATTGTCAAGAGTGTGGATTTTACGCAGGTATCAGAAAATGGAATTTATTTTAGGGAGTTAAAATGCTATTTGTATATTGGTTCATATTTGGCTTGGGGAGGGGAGGATATTTCGTGTATATTGGCTTCTATTATATTTGATTTGATTGTAAGTAAAGCTATACAGATTTATTTTTTTCTTGGTTAATGATATGAGGCTTTTACCCTGGAACTCTTGCATCAATCCTCCATCAACAGCAACAAATACCTAAAATACCCAAATAATGTCTCCCAGCTACTTTAAGGAGGGAGAGGATAAATTTGAGATCATCAAAGAACTGCTCCTCAGGAGGGTGGAGAGCAAGATGAGGGCCGAGTGAGAGAATTCATGTGGTAGGTGGTGGCACACATTCCAGCTCAGAAGTTAAAGGGCTTTGGCATTATGAAAAGGGCAAATGCTCTATATAGTATTTTCTCAGAAGTCATTGGCATGTGTTGATCTCTGACATCTGTGAGCTTTGTTTGGATTTTATTTGCTGTTGAAGAAGTTTTAAAGAGAGAGAGCCATTAAAATGCTTCATCTAGTAACATTTTACTTGTGTGTGTTTTCAGGACAGCAATTACTTGTTAACTGCGGGACAGGATAAACTGTTACGCATATATGATTTGAACAAACCTGAAGCAGGTAAGCATAATTTATACGTGTTCGTGGTTTTATTTTCGTTTAATTTAAATGACTTTTCCTGATTAATTCATGTTCATGTTTAGTACTCAAATTGGGGAAAAAAAATTATAACAATCCATCATCCGGTATTAATCACTGTTAATACCTTTACTTTTGGGTTCATAGTCTCCCAGTCTTCTTTTCTGTGGAAATAAATTATTTAATATTGATGTATTTGCTACATTATGCTTGGATAGCCTCTTACAAGGTTGGTGGTACTAAGTTTAAATAGGTGCATAACAGTCTTAACTAACTTTTGGTAAGGAAGAATAGTTACCTGTAGAAGGTGAGAAGGGTGAGAATTCTCATTGTGTACATATATTGTTCAGATTTTTGAACCATGTGAATGTATTAGCTATTAGAATTAAAATCTGCAATGAATAATTTTTTCATGTCTTTAAATATTCTGCCTACTGTTTTTAATGACTGTGGTTCTCCATCCTATGAACGAGTGAATTAACCAATATCCAATTATGGCCTGTTTGGGCTATTTACAAGTTTTAAATATTATTATAAGCAGTGTTATGATCAACAAACATCCTTATAGTTGCAGATATTTCCACAATTGTTTCTATAGGATAGCTATGTAGAAATAGAATCGTTGGAACAGAAAAGGGGTACATGTGAAAACGGTTGATATTACCCAAGTGCCCTCCAGCAAAGTATAAAAATATATCTGTAGCTAACCTTTTCTGTCAAACACCGATAATTTTATCATAGCCAATTTAATAGAAGAAAATTACTGTATTAATGTGAACATTTAAAAATTATTCATGAGGCTAAAATACTGTTGAGTTCAACTTTATTTTTTTGTGTGTGAACTAACAGCCTCTTCATGCCCTTTGCCCATTTATCTGTTTTGTTGTTCATCTTTTTCTTACTGATTTTAAATGTTCTTTATTGTATTCTAATTTGTCATTTGCTTTTAATTTTGTTAATAAGGTTTATGATATACACATTTTTAAAATTTTGGTGGTGAAATCTATCATTTCCTTTATGAAGTCTCTCATTGCACAGAAGTTGTAGGAGATGCCTTTTTTCCCTAGTCCAAAAATTCACCTCTAATTTGTAGTATATTAATGCTTTTGTAGCCACGTTATATATTTTTAAAGCTACCAAAATTTGATAGGATATTGTTGTACTTATTATGTATTAGTTGGTATCTTAAATTTTGTATCAAGAGCATTGTTTATTCATAAATCATTAAACTAGAAGTTTGTAAGAATGTCAGAGCTACATTGGAAATTAAGCAATTACTCTCAAAAATACCTTTTCTAAAAGCATTTTTAAGGTGAGAAAACAAACTACATTAATAGATTATTCTCCATTGGCACCTGGGAGATTGTCCCTTCATTCTCTTTGATAACTTTATGCAAAAAATATAGCAAAGTACTCTAACTTAATGAGTGTACTTATCTGACTCACCAATGAATTTCAGGGCTTAGGCAGACATTTTTCATCTTCTTTTGCCTTTCTCAAAGCTTCTTTTAGAAAGTGGCCCTTTCATTATACTGAAAGAGAAATAATAGCAATTAACAGCTTTTATTGTATGCCAGAAACCAGGTTAGAAACATTAGAGGTATATTCTTATTTGATCTTTATACTCAAACTATGAGGTATAGTAACTATTGTTATCCCATTTTATAGATGAAGAAATGTAGTCTTTAGAAGGTTAAGTAACTTGCCTAAAGTCAAAGTGGTGTTAAATGGCATTGCCTCCAGCATCTGTTTTGCCCAGAGATAACAATGAGTGTTATTTTTTAAAAATATTTTGAAGGGAAAGTTTCGAACAGAGAAAGGTACCCATTTTTTTGATGCTTTGCTCTCCATATGGAAACATTGTTGGGATTACTTCACTGCTTTTTATTTCCCTTTTCTCTTTCCAGCTCCACTAGCCACCTTTTTTTCTGTTAGCACTTCCAACAGTGGCTTGGATGAGGGTCTTGGTGTTAGTGATAGTAAGTACTAGGATTAGCTCAGGCTGTCTTGTTCCTTGGTTCATACTCTTATTAAATTATGGCACATTCGTCTTTTTTTTTTTTTTTTAGCCATCCTGCCAGCTGCAGCTCAGCTTGGGCCGAGAATCGAACCGCTGTTGCTCAGAGCTCACACACTCTTTTTTTTTTTTTTTTTTTTGTGGTGCAATAATGCTTTTGAAAGAAAAGTAGTTGGAGGGAGTGATATTTTCACTCTCTCTACCTATAGCATCATAGTTCTTGGGTTTCTTGTCATGCAGCTACATTTTTGTTTCAATACAGAAAAACTAAATGTATTCTATGTAAACAGCAAGTTTGAATTGTGCTGGGTTGTATAAAGTTGCAATCCAATTTAAAAAGTTATTTCTTTTCTTTTTACGTATTTAATTGCTCCAATATTGCTCAGTTTTAAAAATCAGATATTAACAAGTGTATTTTCAATTGTTTCGTCTTAAGAACCTAAGGAAATCAGTGGTCATACCTCTGGTATTAAAAAGGCTCTATGGTGCAGTGACGATAAACAAATTCTTTCAGCTGATGATAAAACCGTCCGGTAAGCAGTCTTTCTTTAATAATTTAAAGTTTGAAATAAAATTTGACTTACGTTTTAAATATTTTTCATAGCTATTATGTAGGAAGAATTGTCTCCGAACATCAAGACTTCAGCTGCACGTAGGTCATGTTCTTCTGGAGCCATCCATTTACTGTTATAAACAGCGAAATTCACAAGACACTCAATGAAAACTGACACCTTTATAAGCAGGCGCTCTTAACCTGGGTCAGTGCACAGGCTGGCTATAGGTGGTCCATGAAACCCTTGAAATTCTATGTACAATTTTGTGTGCTGAGCCCCCACGTATTTTTCTGTGGAAAGAGATAGCTATTATCAGATTCACAGAAATAGAGTGCAAGAATCGTTATTTGGAGCAACACTGAAATTAATTAGATTAGTACCTAAGTGTCTTAATAGCAGTTTTGCTAAATTGTTCGGGAAGTATATTTAAGTGTCAAATGTTAAAGCTGATTTCACGAACATTCTACCAAATAGTTTGACATTATTATAGGAGCCCAAAACTTCTTTGTGTATCTGTAATATATGAGTTGGAATGGAGATGGTTTTACAATTGTGATTATTGGTTAAACTGCAGATGTAATTATGATTTAAGCTTTTTTTCTTAAATGAGTAAATACCATCATATTTTCCTCTTTTTTGCAGCCTTTGGGATCACGCTACAATGACAGAAGTGAAATCTCTAAATTTTAATATGTCTGTTAGCAGTATGGAATATATTCCTGAGGGAGAGATCTTGGTAATAACTTATGGCCGATCTATTGCTTTTCATAGTGCAGTAAGGTATGTCCAAGAAGTACCTTCATTTTCTTTTTTGGCAACAAATGACAACGTTTTTTACTTAAAAATTAGGAGGCATATATGAGAAGGTATTTAACTATTTTAAAGGCAAGTCTTGGCCTATACTATATAATAAGGAGGGGAATGTTTCCATTCCCATTAATAATGTATTTTTAAAGAGTTTGGTATATTTTAATCAGAGGAATTAAGTTAACTTCCTGATATTTATTGGTAAAGTTTAACAGCTTTTAAATTACATCTTTCTTTAAAGGATCGCTGGACTGGTGCTGTAATTAATGTTGTTTATTACCATATAAAGCCACTGTGACACTGATTCTCGTATTATTTTCCCTTAAAAATTTTGGAGAAATAGTGTTATTTTTATTCCTATCCCCAAGTATGTGTAGACCTAATGATTTTTTTTAAAAACAGACTGAATTTTTATGACTATAAATGTAGTAAATGCTGTTGTTGAATATTTGGAGATTATAATTTAAAAAAATTTACCCATAATTTTAATAACCATAGATGCCAGAATGTTAATGATAGCTTTATTTTCTGCCAGTCTTTTATTTTTGTTATTATATGTGTATTTGTTTTTGTTTTTGTTTTTTAACCCCTTTAGATACTAGGACCCTAATGAGTGTAATTTTGATTTTTTATTTTAAAATATATATGTTCTTAGCCATTAAAAATTATTGGAAAACATTTTTACTAGGTGTTTTGCAGTATAGGTTGCACTAAATTATGTGTCAATTTCTCTACTTTAACACTGCAATGAGTATTATGGTCCATCTCTGAGTGTTTTCTTAGAATAGAATCCTTTAAGTAGAATTATCAATTCAAAAGGTAGGGATATGTTTAAAGCTCTTAGTATACATGGCACTTAATTGATTTCCATAAAGATTATACTACGACCAAGTCCTAAACTTTTGTCTAAAGGGCCACTAAGCTTCACTGAATGGCAGAAGGAAAGAAAGGGCAGTAAAAGTGGAGAAGAACAATTAAGAATGTAAAGGAGTTCATACCCACACAGTGAATTGATAAAAATAGAATACTGTTGCCCAGAGCCATTAAATTGCACCACTGTTAATTGGTCACTCCTGATTTGAGCAACATGCGGTCCTACTAGACTATTGTCTTAAGTTCCATGTTGCTGGCCTATTGAATGTTCTAACCTTTGAGCCAGAAAGTTCTATTCAGTGATCGTGTAAGTCCTGACTAACCTTTCATGCTTTGTAGCGTGTGCTGATGGAAATAGGATGGCAGCATTTAGGAGCTGGAATGCTCTAATGTTTTGTATTGGAGACCTTTTAGGATTTTTAGAGCTGGGCCAGAAAAGATGCAATATGCATACTCATTGATAGTCAGGTGAAGCAGTTATGCATTGATTTTTATTATATAGCCATATTATCAAATTTAGTTATTTTTTTATTGACTGATAGTAAGAACTGAGCCAATTTTAGCAGTTTTATATTTTTTGGGACTAAAGGTTTATCCTGTTGTAGAGGCTTATAATTTCTAAGCAATTGAGAATAATGTAAAATACTACTTTATATTAATTACTTACTGTTAAAACTTTTCCTGTTTACAAAGATAATGCGTATTTGTCATGGAAAATCAATTCAGAATTAAATTTTTTCCAAAGCAAAAAATCTCACTATATACGCCATACTGTTTTATTTAGCCAGCATACTCATTTTCAGGAAGGCAACCACTGCAGAAAATGTGGATATCCCTCTGTAGAAATGCCTTTGTTCTATTTGGGTAAACTTCACCTGGGCATACATAGTATCCTTTTGAACTTCTTTTGCTATTATGTATTATAATATTATTTAGGGATAGTTTTGTTTTGTTTTTAACATCACTATGTTTGACTGAATGAATATTTAATCGTTCCTTGGGTTTCAGAATTTAGAAACAGTTTAACTAACTGATTATTTCCTTGTATTATGTAATATTCAAAATTTATCAATATTACTTAATTTTTTTTCCAGTTTAGAGCCAATTAAATCATTTGATACTCCTGCAACCATCAATTCTGCATCTCTGCATCCTGAGAAAGAATTTCTTGTTGCAGGTGGTGAAGATTTTAAACTTTATAAGTATGATTATAATAGTGGAGAAGAATTAGGTGAGTTGTCCTCTTTTTCGTCCCTTAAAATGATATAGTTACCTTTATCAATATTAGGTTTCAGTAATTAATACCTTAACACCTCAGCAAATTTTTCAGCTAACTAAAGCTTGCAGCTTCCAAATGGAAGAGTAAAGGATTTTTATCCACTTTGGGTAGAAATGTTCCCAAAGCTATAAACAAAGTATGATGATCTCAATTTACCTTTTCTTTTTAACTTACGTTCATTGTATTCTGACATTGTGTACAGTAGAACAGTATATTTATGGGGGTGTGTGGCAATCTTATGTTGAAGCTGTATTAAACAGATGAAGATTTCTTCTTTCTGAAGTATAGAGCAGGTATGTAGCCCTATCTACCTGGCCCCCCTCTTTCTGCCAACATATGAATCCCTAAGGCGCTATAGCAAATTGTGTGTGTGTGGGGGGGAAGGGGGAAGCTGCTATAGCTTATTTTAGGGATCTGAATTCGAGGGGGCTTTTTTGTTTTCATTTTATTTTTATTATTTTTTGGAGTCTTTGACATTTGCTTTTATTTTCATGATAATAGTCTTTAATAAAGGAAAGGGAAAGGCATGTAGGATTAATATGAAGTTAATACTCATCCTAACTTTACATTTACCTGATGGTCTAGGTATTTCAGCGTGTGATTTTCAGTGTTTACTATTAGCCTTCCCAAATAGTTTTCACTTTTTGAACTAATATATTGGGTGTCGGAAAAGTCATGATGCATTTTTGCAACAAAAAACATAGAAAAAATACTTCATGACTTTTCCGACAACCCAATATTTAGTTTTTATACTTTATTTTTGTCTCTAAGTTGCCACTTTGTTTCTAGCTATCCTGCTTTACCACCTTAGGAACTGCGCTTGTTAGAATGATACACAAAGACCAAATGACAATTTTATGTTTTGTTTCTTTGGAGAAGATAATGGATTTGGGTTGGATATATGGAACCTTGGTGAATGGACCATATAGAATCTATTTTAATTGCTTACATTTCACCTTTTATTGCTTGAATATAAGTGATTTTTAAATAAGTTTCTTTTTTATTGTTTTCATTTAATGTCAGTTTTCAAAGTTTTAGAATGCGTTGGCCACATGTTTTATTCTGTTTGAAAAAGAGAAGTAAATTATTTGCCTGATATCTGAGTTTAGTAAATACCAGATCTTGGACCTAGCCATTCTCATTCCAAAACCTCATATTCTTTATATTCTCATGATATTCTCTAGTAGGAAAGAGATGGGGTAGATGATATATGAGGGTCCTTGAGCTTAGAGTCATTAAGTTGAATTGACATGAGGACAGAAGGAACATTGGTCCAGTAAAGAGCTTTGAAAACTAATAAGGTGATGAGACATTAGAAAGTAAATGAGAAAAGTTCATAAATAAGGGTATGACTTAAACAGCACACCACCACTACTAATCTGTACATTTTCTTCTTAAATTCCATAGATGAAAATATGTAAGGATCAGCATTGATTGTACATTTTAATGTTCTTATGGCAGAGGGACTAGTGGATTCTAGATAGTCTGGTAGGAAATTAAGGAACAGAGTGTAAAGAGCTCCATCTGGTGGCTCCATAGTCATAATTAAGAATCGGCTCCCTGGTAAATAGGCAGTGAGTTTAGGATGTGGAAATTGGGATTGAACTGGTAAACTTCAGATCTACTTTCTGTAGAATTTAGACTGGGGGTTTCATTTACCCCCTTCCTTGGTCCTTATTAGGACTTAAAAACTCATTTATTTTTATCTGTTTGTTTGTTTGTTTTCATAGAGACAATCTGAAACCATAATGTGGGGTAGAATTGGGAAGGGGTAATCTTACGGAGAAATGTTAGACATAATGTTCCACTTGATAGAATCATTTTGATTTTGTTTAGTATAGTTCTTTGTATTTGTCCTTATTTCTTATCTTGCCAGTATTATAGACATTATTTTCTTTAGTGTATCAATACATAACCAATATTTATTAAATTATCTAATAGCCCTTCTCCTCTTTCAGAATCCTACAAAGGACACTTTGGTCCTATTCACTGTGTGAGGTTTAGTCCTGATGGAGAACTCTATGCCAGTGGTTCTGAAGATGGAACACTTAGACTTTGGCAGACTGTAGTAGGAAAAACATATGGCCTTTGGAAATGTGTGCTTCCTGGTAAGAATTTTTATTCAGAGTTATCGAATTAAACTTGACGATTTTGTGTCACTTTTCATCATTCATTTTTTTCATTGTTTCTGTTTCCTATAGATTTCAAATTGTATCATATGGTTTATTCAAAGAGAAGCCCATGATTATAAATTGGCTGCTGTGTTCTTATTTAAAGTTTTTGTTGTATAATCTAGTACTAAATTTATTTTTCTAAGTAGCCGATATTTTTATTAAATGTAATAAGCAATAATGTTATTTTTTAATTTTTTTATTAGTTTGAGGTATACAAAGCAATATAATAGACATTTACACCCCTCATAAAGTAATAACCTCTGCCAGTCTAATACCCCTCTGACATCATATGTAGCTGTTACTATACCATTGACTATTCCTTATGCTGTACTCCGCATCCCATGACACTATAATGCATACATATATATGTGTGTGTATGTGTGTGTGTATTGAATTATAGTCAACATTCAGTGTTATTCAACTTCCACTTTAGGTGTACAATTATAGCGCAGTGGTCAGGCATCTACACAGTCCATGAAGTGAGCTTCCTGATAAGTCCACTGCTCTATTGCTAAATTTTTACACTGGATCATTTGGTGAATAGAATGGACCAAATTCAAAATTTGTTAGAGGGCAATATAAAGAATTTATAAGTAAAGATATTTAATCTCTGAGTAGCATTACTCACTGGTCCTTATCAAAAAGGTAAGCGTGTTTTTAATAAAAATACTTCATATCAGCCCCAAAATAGTTGTATGAACCTAAAAGTAATTTTTGAGGAAAGGCATATCACTATAATTACTAAAAAGTTGTTCCTATTATGTTTTGTATTCCATTGCTTGAAATGGTCTTGACATGCTCTTCTTTCTTATTACTTTCTGTTGCTGGTAATATTGTAATTCATGCCATCATTGTTGCTTTTCTTTTCATAGAAGAAGATAGTGGTGAGCTGGCAAAGCCGAAGATCAATTTTCCAGAGACAGCGGAAGAGGAGCTAGGTAAATGCTAATGAATTAACTTTGTAGAGTCCTGGGGGATTTAAAATTGAAGTGTAATGTGAGTTTTACTCATTGACAAAGGAAATTTATTAAATATGAACATACTTAAGTAATGTAAAGTTTAAATATGTATTTGTATGTACAAATTTATAAAACAAATATTTAAATACCTATCACATACTAATAGGCACAGAGATGTATTATGAAGACTGATGTAGTTACTCTTGATGAACTTACTTAGGAGACAGATGCTAAAATAAACGTTATTGCAATTGCAATTGTTATTTAACATTGATTAAGCACTTACTATATACCAAGTGCTTGTTCCCAAATCTAGAATTATAAATTGTAATATGCCCTGATCATATATTGTTTGAAGTTCAAACAAATAGAGGAGGAGCCAAATCTTTCAAAGACAGGACTTTAATTCAGTGTTTCTTAGATAGTCGGAGTCATTGAAAATTTAGCCAAGGAGAGGGGCCCCTTGGAGGTTAAGTTCTGGTGTAAACGAGTTAACGGATAAAACACATGAACTCTGTGTTGCTTTTTCAGTGGCCTGAGTCTAGCCATTAATGGCATGTGCACTTCTCTTTTGCTTCCCCTTCTCCTTTTATTCCTTTGTTATACAGAAATGTAGATTTTCTTCTTTTCTTTATAAAGTTGACTAATGTGATTTATTTATTTTTTTTAATTGTAGAAGAAATTGCTTCAGAGAATTCAGATTCCATCTATAGTTCAACTCCTGAAGTGAAGGCCTGAGTATCAGGCATATGCTACAGATAGTATACAAACTATGGACTAAAACAAGCAAGCAGAGAATAGCATCAGCCTTCCAGAGTTACTCTCTGCTTAAGACAAACATGAGCAGCAAATAATGAGGAGTGTTAATTAGCCCCAGTCTTGGAACGAACTAACTTGGTGTTACCTGTAAGTGAAAATGCAGGAATGTCAGGTGAAGGCAAGTGGAGTTATGCTCATACAGTACAATGGCGTGTTGTCGTTTTAATGAATATGTGCCAGCCAACATCCGATTTCTTTCATTACAATTAGATTTCCTGTAGCTGTTTATGTTATTATGGAAAACAAAAATATATTGACATATTTTTCTGACTTCTCCCTTAAGCAGAAAGCCTTTTTTTGCTTTAGTTGTAAAGAAGAGGGAATACATGATAAAGTAACTGGTTTGATTTCTCTTTCATTATATGCTGCTTCTGAACATCTAATTGTTTTTAGTTGTCTAAATAAAATGCCTCTAAAACAAAACAATGTTTGTTTCTTGGGAAAAATTGATTTGACTTTTGTGAATGGAAATCACCAGAAAGATTTTCTGCATAATGACTATCAGAACACAATCTGATTAAAGAGTCTGTACGAACATATTGTTTCCTAATTTTGAAATTCAGTTACTTATGCTGAATTTTTGAAATTAGCTGTGGTTACATTTATCTCCCTCTTAGACTGGATAGAAATGATTTTACCTGCCTTTAAAAAAAGCTTTCAAAATAATGACTTATTTAAATACAATACATGCTAGCTGTAAGAAAAGCAATTCAGAGTTAGCAGAAAAATCAGTCAAAATCCCACCACCCCAAAAATCTGTTAAAGTTGAGTGAATATTAATGAACACGAATGTATCTCTCTGTGTATGTACAGATAGATAGATTTTACAAAAATGGGATATTTGTAAACCTGCAATGTTTATTTTATTTTATCCTTTAAGTTCAGGTGGCATTCAAGAAGTCTTTTTACCAACCTTCCAATAAAATGGTTCAACTGACTTTAGACTTGTATTTATTTTTTTAAATATGGAGGGGATATTAAACTAGTAATTTGGAATAATATCTCTGCCAAAGTTCCTTTTTCTTTCCTTATTCATCTTGTGAATGACCCTTGATAACTTCAAAAGAAATAACCAGCCAAAGAATATGATAAGTTTTTGAAGTTTTGTGGTAACCAGAAGAAAGAGCACTGTCAGCTATGACCACTTTAGAGGGCCAAGAGGCGTGTCATGGGGGAGAGCCAGCTGATGACCCACACAGAGTCTCAGTGGCTGATGATAGTTTTCTGTCAGTTTGCTACATGCCTGGTCCTCTGCTTTGTAGAAGCAGCATTATCAGAGTGCCACAGGTTGCTCAGACTTGAATGTCTTATCCTAAATAAAGTTGTGATTTATATGCATTAGATTAGAATCATGAAATTGCTTGGTATTTATGAAATTTATGATCCAAGGGAATGTCTTCTACTTAGGTTTCATAAAGACCCTATTCAGATACATGGTTACACCATCACTGGGTGGCATGTGGCCTGGAATCTATAAAAGCTGTTTTAAGTTTGTAAGTTGAAGAATTTCAGGCTGTGAAGAACTGTCATAATATGCCTTATACTCGTGTGACTGAGATGTACCTGTTGGTCAGATCTCTGGTTGAGGTCGGATAAGCTAAATTTTCGTGGTTTAGCATGTTTTTAGGTACTGGTTATTTAGTTAAGTCATTTTATGTTTCAGCTTTGCCAGATTAATAGAGTTGCTTATGATAGCTACTTTTGTTTTCACAACAGAGGGCATGTTTTTAGGAATTTTGCTAGTTTTATTCTTCAAGGTAACTTTGTTTTTCTTTATAGCCTTGTATATACTGAGTATACCTACCACCTGGCAGGGTGTGAAAACAATCAGTGTTTGGTATCCTTTGTGTCTTGGTTTTCTATTGCTGCTGTAACAAATTACCACAGATTTGTGGCTTAAAACAGCTCAAGTTTATCTTCGAGTTAAGGAAGTCAGAAGTCCGAAATCAGTCTCATTGGGCTGAAAGTAAGGCGCTTGGCAGGGTTGCATTCCCTCTGGAGACTCGAGGAGAGAATATGTTTCCTTACCTTTTCTAGCTTCTGGAAGCCACGAGCATCCCTTCACTCATTCCTTTCTCCGTCTTCAAAGCCAGCAGTGTGTAGCATCCTCAAATCTCTGCCACCCTCTTGTACTTAAAGATTACATTGTGATTACATTGGAACCCCCTGGGTAATTTCCCCTGTTCAAGATCCTTAATTTAATCTGCAAAGTCCCTTTGTGCCCATAAAGTGACATTCACAGGTTCCAGGGATTAGGACATGACTGTTGAGGGCCATTAGTCTGCATGTCACACTTTGTAATTGTAGAATCCTACAGTAGAATTTAGCAAAAAGTTCATGTAAAAGGTGTGATTGAAAAATATGGTGAATGTTTAAAAGATGTATTACAGTATGACACATTGCCATCAACCCCCCTCAAAACACTCCTCCCTTGCTTCGGACATGCGTATCCCATCGGTCCTGCCACTTTCTGAAGCACTTCTGAAAGTCCTCTTTCATGAATATTTTTACTTCATCCTCCCATCTTGACAACGTTCCATGTCACACATTGCTTCTGGTAGGGTAACTTCTGTCAAAAACACTACTGTGTGTCCTCATCCACCTTATTTACCGGATCTGGCACCATATGACTTCTGGCTCTTCTCCAAAGTCAAAATGACCATGAAAGGTAAACATTTTGAACCGATCTGAGACATCAAGGCAGCCATGACAGCGCAACTAAAGACACTCACGAAAGAGGACTTCCAGGACTGCTTCTGAAAGTGGCAAGAATGGGGATAAGCGTGTTCGAAGCAAGGGGGAGTATTTTGAGGGGCATTAACGGCAATGTGTCTTTTACTGTAATAATTTTTTTATTTAAACATTCACCGTATTTTTTCATCACATCTCATATATCTCTACTATAACTGCTCTTGTGAAAGTCTCCAGTGTTTCTAACCCAGTGATTACTTTCCTGTCCTCACCTTACTAAACCTGCAGCATACAGCAGTTGTCTGCTTCCTTGTTTTTGAAATATTTTTTTTTCTTCTGTGAAACCATACTCCTGGTCTTCCGTATACCTTTCTGACTGCTTTATTTACCAATTCTTGTTCTACGTTACCTCAGGTCTGGGCTATACCTTCTAGCTCGTCTTTATCCAAAGGAAAAAAAAATCATCCATTATGGCATCCAATATCTTCTATATCTTGCAAATTTATATATGCAGCCTGCCTCCCTGAGCACCAGAGTTTAATGGCATAGTTGAGTGTTCACCTGAACCTTGAATAAGCACCTAGACCTATCTAAAACATTTTAATTTTTCAACCGAACTTGTTTTCTCCTCAACTTGTTACCCATTCCAGGAACTGGCACTACCTAATACTCATTTGTTCAGACTAAAAGACAAAGCAGTCCCCTACTCCTTTGTGATCCCCATATCTACATGCAAGTTCTCTGGGCTCTTCTGCATCTGTACCTTGCCCCATCTCCATTGTTGCCACCTAGGCCAGGCGGTCATTCTGTCTCAGATCATTGTAGTGCCTTCCTAAGTGTTCTGTCTTGCTTCTACCCCTCTACCCTGCCTGTATCCCATTCATCCTCTACACAGTAGGAAAGGTAATTGCTTCAGGCTTTGAGGAGGCCAATTGACTGCCTTGTTTAAATCCACAGTGGCTTCCTATTACACCATATTTTTACTATCATCCTACACCAGCCTTCTATGACCTTTATATTTTTCCCCTCGCTTGCACTGCTCTAGCCAAAGTTGTTTCATTTCTGTCTTAAGGCCTTTTCACTTGGCTGACTATTTCTGCTACTTGGTCCATTTTTATCTAATGATTTGCATGGTTAACACTTTGTGCTTCAGGTCTCAAGTCATGTGTCCCTTCTTTTGTCACTGTTTTGTTCCATTTTATCCATAGTTCACTGTCTGAAGTTACCTTGTATATTTTTCTTCTTCACCAATACTGTTTGTACCTTTGCCTAGAAAGATGGCTGGTGTGTCCTAAGTACTCAACAGTTATTGAAACAAGCTTGTAAATGAGCACCAAATCTTAACAGACCAGGAAGACTGTTTTCCAGTTATCCGCCATACAACAGACCGACGTCTCCACTGAGGAGTCAGACATCGTGGAAACCTACTCAGAGTCCTTGCCTCTCCTGGGGACCCTTGTACAGCCAGCCTCAGCTGACGTGAGACCCGCTAACCTAGGAGAAGTCCAGCTTGGATGGATCTCTACCCACTCTCTTTCCCATTCCATTTTTGCTCTGGGACTTCTTATGTTCTAATGTCCAGTAGGTCATGTTAACCTAAATTCCTAATTTTTAGTAATTTACCTTATGAATCATTATTTCTCAGTTTTAGTGCCATCCAGGTGTTTCTTCCAGGAAACCAGGGTTGACGATGGGCCATCAGTTCTCGAGAATTTTTCATGTCAGTACATAAAGTTCACATTCTTGTTAATGGCTACAAAATAATAAAGATGTACCATAATTGATAATAACTTACAGGTTACTTTTTTTAATAGTCCAAATTCAGTGGAAGTACTAATTTACCTTCCTTTTCATTGAGGCTAAGGTAGGGAGGAAATGGATGTAATTTTTCAGAAAGCAGCAACAACAAAATGGGGAATTAAAAATGTGGCCCAAGGGACAATTTTTTTAAGCTTTACACCTGGATATTTTCAAACAAGCGATTCCTAATGGGTTGTATACATTACTGTACATATTGATCTCTTATTCTAGGGGTATTGCTGATGAAGAATTACTGGAGCAAGAATGCTCTCGGGAGGCTTAGCTTTTCTAAGCTTACCAATAAGAATGCACAATTTTCAGTGTGACTTAGTGTCAGCTAGATCAGTGTGACTGTAAGATCAGTAGGGTTCTTGAAGAAACAAATGAGACATCTAACAAACTTATCAGTGGAAACTAGGCCAAAGCATGCAGCTAACTGATGGATAATGAACAGTAATAATATTTTATATGTTAAATCACTTCATATAATTAATGAAAGAATGATACTTGGTCAAGTGGAAAATAACCAATTTTAGTTTATGGACCACATATATAATGGTGGTCCCATGAGATTATAATGGAGCTGAACTGATCACCTAGTGACGTCATAGCCATCTTAGCTGTCGTAGCACATACATTACATGTTTTTAGTGATGCTGGTGTAAACAAACCAGTACTGCCAGTTGTATAATTATAGCACATACGTACATGACATTATACTTGATAATAAATGATTATGTTACTGGTTTATGTATTCACTATGCTTTTTATCATTATTTTGGAGTGTACTCTTCCTGGTTTTTAAAAAAAGTTGGCTATAAAACAGTATGCCATGTTACCCTGGCAGCAGCCTCATACATCCCATGTTAACCGTATGTCTTGATGGCATCATTTTCCCTGGTTGATTTAATCTGAGGTCATTTTATAAATTGAGTCTAGGTGCACAGTGTTTATAAAGTTTACCATAGTGTACAGTAGCCCTAGGCTTCACATTCACTCACCACCCCCTGACTCAGCCGGAGCAACTTCCAGTCCTGCAAGCTCCATGGTAAGTGCCCTATACCATTTTTATCTTTTATACTGTATTTTTACTGTCCCTTTTCTACATTTAGATGTGTTTACATACACACCACTGTGTTACAATTGCCTACCTCAGTACCGTGACATGCTGTACGCCTAGGAGCAATAGGTTGTACCACATAGCCTAGGTGTATAGGAGGCTAGACATCTAGGTTTGTGTAAGCACACTCACTCTGATGTTTGCACAATGATGAAATCGCCTAACGATGCATTTCCCAGAACATATCCCCGTTGTTAAACGGCACTTGACTGTGTGTGGGAAACCTAATTTCAGAGAGATTAAGTGGCTTGTCTAATGAGTTTTGCTTCAGATAGTGGGAACAGTCTAAGTGTGTGGTCTGTAGGATTACATACATTGCCTGGTTTTGAGCTATCCTCGTGCACTTACAGACTAATCTCTTGACACTTAATGTTTTGTTTTGTTTTTTTAATCTGTAAAGGGAGATGATAGTTCTCACACATAGATTTTTTGGGGAGATAGCAAATAATTGATGTAAAGGGCTTACCTCATAGAAAGCACTTCGTATTAGCTAGTATTATATATTCTATCAGTGATTCTGTAATTTTGAGATTTGGTGGACCAATAGATTAAAAATTGGGGAGGTGGGCAAGATTGAATGAATGGTCTGCTTCTAATATTGCCAAGAGAGACTATTAAAAAAGAAAAAAAATATTACCACCACCATCTTCATAAAAGGACATTTTAAAATCCAAGTTGTACTGAAGGCCATAATCTCGGAATGAAGGACTGCTCTTTAAACTGAATAAATTTAGCTTCATAAAAGACTCAATATAATTCTTATTTTTCTTCACCGTGAAGTACGAATTAGATGGTCTATAAGTCTCCCTCCAGTTCTGAAATAATTCAGTTCTAATATTCATACTCTTTCTAATCCTGCCTGCTTCTATACTTCCCCATCTAATTTAGAAATACTGGTTGACAATCCATAGCCTATATTTACCTAAGGAATGACTGCTCTTAGAAATCGTAGGATTAAAAACTACATTCAAATGAAATTGGACTGGAAGAAACCATGAGCACTATAAGAAAATAGCACAGACAGTAATATGCAGTCATTCATCTAACCAATCTTCATAGCCAACTATGTGCCAAGTACTGTACTAGACACTAGGCATATGACAAACCAAACAAATGGTCAATGCCCTTTGGAATTTAACATAGATTTCACCGATCTCCCAGGACAGGTAGATTCTTGAGGCTTCAAGATAATTATGACATATTCCTAGCACTTTAATTTTAATTAAAGAAGGAGTGTGGGGGGGGAGACAGATAATTTATATGGCAGTTTAAATTTTATATTACCTCCACAAAAAGGAATAGCATGCAAAATTTGCATGGATGAAAAGGATATAATAAAGACAGTTTTAAGTTTTACTCTTGGAAGAGCCAGTTTGGGCTATAGTTACAGATTGGTGTGCCTAGTTTGCTCTCCTCTGCCTCTAGGTTGATTCTTTACATTTAGCTTGCATAAACATCATTCGCGGGAACTTGTTAAAAATGCAGATTCCAGAGTCCTAGAGATTCTGATTCAGTAGGGCTGTCTGTGATGAAGCCTAAAATAGACTGAAAAAAAAACTGTTGGGGATTCCAATGTAATAGTGGCGGTCTATAGATCTTTCTTTGAGAGACCTTGCCTTAGGGGTACTTAGAAGTTTCAGAAGGCAATAAAATTAAAAGAGAAACTCTCAGTGAACTTTGGGAACATTCCTCCATTAAAGAGACTCATTCTTTTTGCATGCTATCCCCACTATATCTCTGAATGCTGCCAATTTAACATACTGTGAAACTGTAGAGATTAATTCCAGATTGGTGCTGTGCAACAGGCCAGTTTTAGAAATAAGTCCTTGTGAAATTCTTGTCAGATACGTTGTTGAAATGTTTGCTGTAGGAGGCTGCCCTGATCCTGGTTTTTCAGCTACGTTAGGATCGCATGGCGTTTTGGTTTTGTTTTCATAAATTTACATCATACATGAATGTATAATGAATGACTTGGAATCTGGTTTACAGTTATTTCTGCCACCAAAAATAGAATCCTATTTGTTGCCTTTGTATCTTTTAGGGATGGCAGTGCTCTCCAGCCAAGGACGACCAGGAACACACCTGTAGTTGAATAAATTTGGGTTTATTGACTTACTGCAACAAGGGAGAACACTCACTGTGGGGAACTGTGAGGTGTCTCAGTAAGAGGATGTAGAAATGACATAGGATTTGGGGAAAGTTCAAGGAAGTGGGCCATTGCTCCGGATAGGATTGCCGGCAAAAAGTGATGATAATTATGTGATAGGTCATCTTAATTCTTATCTGAAACACAAGAAGAATGGGGTGAGGCCAAAACTGATGGGTAAAGAAGTGACACATATATTAGCCAGGATAGGGGGCTCTTAGGCCTTTTTTTAAAAGATTTTACTGGGGAATTGGGGAAGGGGAACAGACAAGTTGCTGTTCTTTTGTTCTTCAGTCTA